TTCGCTCACCGATAACGGAATGGACGCAGAAAATTTAAGTGATGGTATCGTAATTTTTCACAGGAGATTCAGATAAACATTACGGAATGTTGTGGAAAAGTTCCGTGACAGTTCCGTAAAATTTCCTACAACCACATTTCGCTCCGGAATTACGGAAAAGATACGTAATTTTTATTGAATATTTTCCTCCGTGTTGATAAATTGCTCCCAATGACTCGATTTCTAAGATGTTCACCGATAAATGTGGATGTCGGACAGCATCTTATCAAAAATCATTTTTCCTGACCATCAACACGTCTTATCTAGTTATCTAATTTTACGTGACAACGACTCAGCATTTCGTACAATACGGGGTATTGTTTTTCATAAGAAATGGTATAACTATTCGTTATTTTGCGGTGAATTTCTGTTTTATTTTTCGAGTGAAGTAGAAAGGAAAAATCTTGCGAATTCCGGTATCACAGATACAGTCACATGGAAATTTTCCTCCCGAAGGGAAGCATTGTATTTGTCAAATCCGAAATTTCCTATTTTTAGTGTCAGAATAAAGAATTTTGGCATCAGGAGTTTGAATATGCTATTTTTAAACCATGTCCGGATGTATGTACGTGAGTGTACGTGACCCATCGTTTTTCGATGATAACTGAAGAAATAATTGTTTAAATGAATCCAATTGTGATTTAAAATATTCCTTCCAATGCCATCTTGACAGAGTTTAATCATAGTGACCATGAGTTTGATTGCGCCATTCGTTGTTGAAAAAAAAATATTTTGAAAACAATATTCAGGGACAGATCAGAAATTTTAACGTTGAGACAATGTTGACTACGAATGTTGGGGCAATGCTGAATTCAATGAATACTGGTCAATACTCAAAATCAACTGGAACCGTTCTACCGCTTCTCTACTGATATATAAACTATGGTGTGACGGAATTTCTTGAAATTTCAGTCACAGCGTCAACTGAATTTTCGATGTTGTGAGATTGAATTCAATTTCAAATCAAAAGCGAAAATTCATGAAAATTGTTTTTTCGTGTTAAATAATCATTGATTTTTCAATGAAAGCTTGAATTTTTGAACTCATCGTGAAAATTGAATATCACATACAATTCAATTTTTGATAGATCGAGAATTCAGTTATTGCCTGAATTTTCAAAATTTTCAAGGTTTTTCAGTGCCGTAAGGATCTCAAAATCGAGACCCTGATAGATCAAACCCAGAGGTAACTCTGGGTCAATTCTGGGTTTATGGAAAAAACCTAGCGAAGAAAGGGAGAAACTCTGGGAAATTTCCATGAACCCAGAGTTAACCCAGAAATAACTCTGGGTTTTATTCATCAGGGAAATTGCTTGAATATTCAAGAAATTAACTAATTTATCAACGAAGAAATAAACAAAAGTTTCATGTAACTTTGTCGTTATTAAAAATTTCAAGCTTTTTCACTTGAAATTCCAAGAGTGATTTTCTAACAGCGTACACAGCAAAAACGAAAGTCTGAATTTCGTGTTTTCGTATTTTTTTTACACCTTTTGTAGACCTTTTTTAGACACTAAAAAACGTTTGAATAAAATCAAAATTTGTCTGAATTTCAAACATGAATTAAGATGTTTGGGCAACTGTTCGTCTCAACTTCAGACCAATTTTCATTGTATTAGACATTTTTAATGTCTGAAAAGTCTCCAAAAGGTGTGTAAAATTTAGACATTCGCTTTGGCTGCATAGAATTTGTCTAAAAAATGTTCGCACTGAAAGAAAAAATTAGTTATTGTTAACCAATGGATTTGGTTGAAGTCTAGGGTCTATCCGGTCTCACCAAATATTCACTCGTTAATAGTTAACAAATGCATATTTGAGGAGCCTTCACGGAGAGAAATATTCAAGAAAAATTACGGAACATTTCACGTAATCNTTTGAAATAACCAGAAATATGTCGCAAGGAGGCCGAACACAATTGACTGCTCAGTTTTTTGTAAAAGAAATCATTAAACATATAATTTGTACAGCGGCTTATGGGAGTCGGTTTTCAACTGTTCAGTATGAGCATCGACAATGTAAAAACAATGCAAATACCCATCGATCACATTCCAAGAATATACCTCTGCAATTCAATAATCAAACAATTAAACATATTTCAATAGAATAAGTTGTATAGGAGAGTGGAATTCAATTGATTTTTTCTATTAAATATTTTCCACTAACCATTTTTTATTTTAAAAAACGCGTAGATAAGCTATGGAAATTTCCAATACAATCGGTCGAGGACTGAAAGGATTTTCAATAAAAGTCCACTAGAATTTTCTTGAAGATTCGCTACGTTTTTCTACGAAATTTTTTGATAGGTGTAATAAATTTCATAGCTTCAACAAGTCATTATCGTTTGATTACCGTGGAAGGCCTTGGCCGAGAATGCAGCAGCGATGAATGTTGCGAAGAACAATACCGTAGACATCATGCACAGGGCTAATCGCAGGTTTATGACGAGTGGAGCGGGGCCGAGAGGTTGCATTTTGTAAGAAATAATTGCCTGAAACGAGATAAATTTCTTTTATGGGCGATTATCGGAGGAAAAATTCCATCGCTTGGAATATTTTATGGAGAAAATCAATAGGTTTTGATTTTTCTTGACATCTTATTCAATTGGGATGTTTCCTGTAGAACTTCCTCGGCTCAAATTTTCCAAGTTTTTTCTGTTTTTATTTATGTAATGAGAGAAAGAAAAAATGGAGTGAGAAAAAATTGATAAATTTTTATCGAGGAATTCCTATAGAAAACATCTCAATAGAATAAATTGAATAGAAAGATCGAATTCTACTGACTTTTTCAATAAAAAATAGTTTCTATTAAAAAAAAGAAAAATAGAAACTATTTTTTATTTTACTTCTGATCCAGCACCCGATGCATAATTTTAATTTTTTATTATTTTTTTTATTTGTTAATTTTTTTTTCATTTCTGTTTCATTTTTCAAAATTTTTTTCTGTTTTTTTTTTCAATTAAAAAACAGGGAAAATGGAAACTATTTCTTATTTTATTCAATTTTTCGGTAGAATCAACGAAAAATTATTAGAATTTTCAATAGAAGTTCAATAAAAATCGAATAAAATTTCCTAGCGAATGCACTAGGTTTTCCCATGATTTTTTCTGGTGGATGTTGACCTTTTGTGAAAGGAATACGTCAATAACCTCTGATTATCCGTACAAAAGAAAATTGTTAACAATCCGAGAACGACCGGAACTAAGTCATTGTCCGAATCGATAAGAATTCTTTCTCCTGCGATTAAATGCAAGATAAAAAAAAATTGATCGATTTTATCGGTGATACATGCCTGCAGCCAAATATAGACTGTGCCTCCCCCGAAAGCCGCGATGGCCCCGATGAGGTGAACACTGAGGACCGAGGTTTCCTGGAAATTAGCGACCACTGAGATGCCCAGTGTCGATATAAGTCCAACTGCAAATGCGACTCTATTCAACCTCTGCCAGTAATGGGGCATTTGAGACGACACCAGCAGCTCCTTCAGTTGAGCGTGTCGGATGTACACCACGAGGGCCACTGGAAAATTCCCGTGATTAGGGCTTAGGGGAGAGTGACCTTCACCTAAACTCTTTAATTATTTCTCTCTCGTTGGAACACGACATTTTTACGTCATCGGAAATAGTGCAGACAAATTTTCTAGAAAATTCTATTAGCACAACTTTTATCAAAATCGCGCAACGTTTCTACGTTTTTTTTTTTGCAAATCGAACATGTTCAGTAGATAATATTTCACACAACTTATTCTGTTGAGATATTTTCTACGGAAATTCCTCAGCCGAAATTTTCCAAGATTTTTTGATTCATTTTTTTATGAAAAGAGAAAGAATTGAGTGAAAAATAGTGGGGGAGGGTGCCCTATGCACTGTTAGAAAATTACTCTTGAAATTTCAAGTAAAAAATCTTGAGATTTTTAACATTCACTCATTCACACGAAATTTTCATGTATTTTGTTATTGAAAAATCAGTTGAATTCTGGAGTATTCAATGGAATTGCAATTTTCAGATCCACATGATAATAAAAATTATTAAGTCATTTGAAAATTCAGACAACAATTTCCCTGGATTTTCAATTTTCAATCCAAATTTTCCAGAAAATTCTATTAGCACAACTTTTATAACAATCGCGCAAAGTTTCTACGTTTTTTTTTTTGCAAATCGAACATGTTCAGTAGATAATATTTCACACAACTTATTCTGTTGAGATATTTTCTACGAAAATTCCTCGGCCGAAATTTTCCAAGATTTTTTGTTTCATGTTTTTACGAAAAGAGAAAGAATTGAGTAAAAAGTAGTAGGGGAGGGTGCCCTATACACTGTTAGAAAATTACTCTTGAAATTTCAAGTAAAAAATCTTGAGATTTTTAACATTCACTCATTCACACGAAATTTTCATGTATTTTGTTATTGAAAAATCAGTTGAATTCTGGAGTATTCAATGGAATTGCAATTTTCAGATCCACATGATAATGAAAATTATTAAGTCATTTGAAAATTCAAACAACAATTTCCCTGAATTTTCAATTTTCAATCCAAATTTTCCAGAAAATTCTATTAGCACAACTTTTATAAAAATCGCGCAACGTTTCTACGTTTTTTTT